TCACCTCCGGCCTGCAGCAAGCGGGGCCTGAGGAGAAATGCCAGGTCTCAACAGCAATGACGTCCGAAGCCCCCTCAGAGATGTAGCTCCCCACTTCTCCAGCTGCAGTGACTGTGGAGCAGGCCAGCTGGGCGCCCTGCCTGCTTCTGCTCAGCCTCGCCAGGCCAAGAGCATCTCAGGGCCCGAGCGATTTGATCTCATGCCTGCTGCGTGTGGGGGATGTGGGGCTGGGCTCTCGTGAGCTCTCTTAGTGAAGCTTATTGTGTCGAGTACTTCATTAATCACTGGAGCAGGGACTGGCATGCACTGGGTGGCCAAGTGCCCTGAGCACTGGGTGATGGGCTCATTCTTACTCTCGCTGGCCAAATGACGAATCCAGTGTTTGCTTCAGCATGGAACAGCGATGAGGAGAGCGCAATGCACGCATGGGTTGGTAGATGCATGGCATGGGTTCAAACCTAAGCCACACGGACCTGGTGGGATTTGAACCTGGGTTTCCTATCCCGTAGTGGCATGTGTAAGCTCCTGGGGTGCTCAGAGGTCGGCACCCCCTCTTCCCAGGTTGTGTTTTGGATCCAAAACATGAGGAAGGAAAGGAGGCCGCTCGCCCTGAGGTCAGGTCACACTGAGGCGAAGAGGCTACAGGTCCTGCATCTCTCCCTGGCATTTCCAGTTGGCTGTTTTAGGGTGTTCAGGGCACGTGTCCATGGGTAAGCGTCTAGCTCTCCCAGCTGTATGGGCGCTGGGAGGCTACGCCATGGCCACGCTGCGCTCTGAGGCCTAAACCCCATCTGACTGTGTGTACCTCTGCGCTCAGACCTTTTCTTTCAAAACCCACTCCGTTTTTAAACCCCAGAGTCACCAGAATGTCTCTCGCCCAGCTTATCTTCTAGGTGGTGGCACCTCCTACCTGAAGGCAAACAAGATCAAGCTGTGCCCGCCGAGAAGCTGGCCAATTTGACCGCCTACCTCTCCTTGGCATTAGCAGATCCTCCCTCTAGCCCTTCTCACATCTCCCCACTTGCTGCAAAGGTGTGTGGACTGTCTGCTTCCTCGAAAGGTGCTGCCCGGTGGAGGGACATCTGAAGCCCTTGCTCACCCCCTGCTCACCAGTATCTATTCGAAACAGATTCACCCCACAGCAGCATTCCTCCCCGCGGCCGCAGTCTTTGATTTAACTGGCATCGTCATCCACAACGGAGCTGAGCCAGCCCCCTCTATTCCTGGATCCTTTCCCTGCTTTATAAGACGTCAAGCCTGTACTTCCCACCATGGTCCATTTTCCCTTTGATTCTTGCACCGCGTTGCCGATCCAGGCCGCTGGGTCCAAGAGTATCAGCTTGGTTCGCTTTCACCCTCTGTCAAAGGAGTTCTCCCTAACTAACTGCTGCATTTTTTTTCCACCAGGACCAAAACGGAAATTAGGCCTGGGAAGAAATCTACCCTATGTCATTCATGCTTAACCTGTAGCAATTATCAGTCCCAAGAGCTTGGTGAGTTTTGAAAAGTGATTTTCATGGCTAATAAAGATATCCAGCTATAACACAAAGTGCAAGAACAGTAAGGGCCTGAGGAAGAACAGAAATCCTAAAACTTCAGGGCTTAGATCAACAGGCGCTCAGGAAAAACTGTACCTGGAGAGGTACCTGGAGAGCTGATGATTGTGCCAGACAGTAATAACTTAGGAGCCCTGGCCAGGGGTTAAGGAGCCCTTGTTTCAGGTGGGGTAGAGAAGTAGGTTACGGGAATAAGTCTTCCCTGCATGCTTATGTGCAAAAAGCACCTTTAAATAACCAAACTGAAGGGTCTTGGAGGACGGTTTGAGTGCAGGGGTCTGTCCACCAGTGATCAAAACAGGGCTGGGTATGAATAGGGCTGGGGGGACCTCAACAAGTCATGCAGCCCGACTCCTGCCCAGAAACAGCATCTAGCCAAATCTGGCCTCGCCAGAGGTCTGTGTACCCTGTTCTTAAAACACCCAAAGTGCTGGCACTTATCCATCATCGTCCTCACCACTAGAAAGTTTCTTTTTGGTTTGATTTTAAAATCCCTTGCTCCAGCTCAAGATTTTTCATTCCTAGTTATTTTTGCATCCACAAGTCTTTGGCTGTTGGTGAAGAAGCTGTTGTTTCGCCCTGGAACAGCTCCAAATCTCTCCACTAGATGTATTAGTTATCCTAAATTCATAACCATCGCTGGGATATTTTTAGCTCTGCTCAGCAGTCGTCAAACAAATCCTGCCACAAAGCAGGGGGACGGTCTGCAGGCCTCCCAGAGAGCCCCCACCGCCCTACTGCTTCTCAGGGTCCAGGCCAAATGGTGCAGAGAGGACCATGAAATCCTACTTGGGAGTGAGCTGGGACCGTGACCATGCCCAAAGCGATCCACATCTGGACCGTGGCTCAACATGCAGACGACAGGCACGGCTTGTATTTTGTTATAGGAGGACTGCCCAGGCCTTGGTAGTGCGTTCCAGTCCTGAGGTCTTGGGGAGACAGGGACAGGCCTGTCATCCTTGTTCCCACAGTGGTACAGAAACATGCCTCAACATTTCGTAGGAACAGAAGTGTCCTTTGGCTCAGGATTTGACGGCTGCCTGTACGATAAACATGACACTGCTTTATTTATGAGCTGGGCTGATCCTCCGAGTGGCCCCACATCCACAGTTCATCCCTTTGGAGGTGCTGGAAGCAGCCTCCCCTTTTATAAAAGCAGGAATTGGTACATCTGGCGTCCCCTCTGCTCCCTGGCAGTCCCTCCCAGGCCTCACGCTTTGCCAAGTGCTTGCTGGTCTGGATTTAATAAGCAGCAGCTTTGCTCCAGCAATGGAAACTCAAAGTGGATATTGCAGCTAAGCACAACATGGGACTGCAGCGCAACCACAGAGAAGTTATAGCAATAATTTCTGGATTACAGTCGTCCTTGCATATATTTCTCTGCTGGCGTGGCCAAAGTTTGGATTAGAAAACACACCATGTCACAGTGGAGCTAAGAAACTCACTGCATCTGCTTCTGGAGCAAGATACGTTGCTGCTTGCCCGTTTTTTGATCCGTCTCTAAACCCCTGGTGCTCCTAGGCCAGGACTGTGGACCTAAGCAATCCAGGAAAACAGTCTTCATACTGTGTCTGATTACCCAGACGCAAGTATTCAGCGCCATTGCCTCGCGTCCAGGCTGCCCGCACAGGCTAGGGAAATATGACCTGAATATGAAGTATGAAACAGGACCTTAGTGGGCTGGCAGCCAGAGACCAGGTGGGACAGTCTAGTCCCCCGGGTGGCATTAAAGACCTGTGTCTAAGCAGCTGAATAGAACCCTGGATGTCTTTAAAATATCCCTTTTCTGGAAGAAGGGATGCACTCATAGTATTCACACCTGAGATTCCTATTTCACTGCCCTGTGAAGTGAAATGCTCACAACCTAATGAGCACAAGGGCTGGGGCTTGGAGACACATATTTTGCCAAGCCACCCAGTCACTGTCATGGGAAAGGGAGAAAACACACAGAGCAGGAGGCCCAGAGGGGTGGGTGAAAGCTCGGGTGAGCTCCAGGCATTTCCTCCTGGTTATGAGACAAGTAGTGACCTCACAGGGCAAGCTGATGTCACTGAAGGACTTTTCTAGCATGGCAAGGCTTCTCCATCCCAGCCTCCAGAGCCCCTGGTCTGTGAGATGCCCTGAAGCTGGTGGTATGGGAGGACTGGTCACCAGCACTAACTGTGGAGTCCTAGGGTGGGAGGGGTGGGCTCCTGTTGGGAGGTCCACACCACTCCTGAAAGCCTCTGTCGTTCAACAGCGGTGCACTCCCTGCTATGGTACCAGCTTCCACGCAGCTGGCAGTGACTTAGCCAAGAAAGGCACCCACCCAGCCTGCCTCTCCAGTGTAAGAAACACAGTTTCACTGCTGCCGAATGCAGGCATTATATCTGGCTAGGACAGAGCCTGAGACAAGGCTGGGTTCTGGTGGAAACCAGGATCCTCAGGTGGCTCCCAGTTTTGGGACATGTGGTAGGTTGGGGGCGAGTGCTGATATACCACATGTAAAATTCAGAAGTGGTGCCACAGTCGTTGGCAGTAAAGTTCTGCAACTTGCAAATCATGTTTGGAGCTAGACATGAACCCAAATTCTTTACCTTAGCAATAGGAGTGACAGTTACATAGGAAGACAATTATTTATGGTCACCTGGAGTGTAATGCAGGACCTGGGGACTGCTGTGCTTCTTCTAAGACAGAGAAGGGGTAGACCATGAGGACAAGATGGTAGAGCAGGCAGGGACCATGAGGACAAGATGAAATTCAGCAATCCCAAGTGCAAGGTCATGCGGGTAGGGGTGCTACGAATGGGGAATCCCTCCACAAGAGGTGACTGAAGGAAAGAAGGATGGGAGTATTCAAGGGACAAGAAAGACAACTGCAATCCTAGAATCCCAGAAATTCCACAGGATTTCTGATGGCATTGTACTAGGACCTCTCCTGGATTGTGGATGCAATTCTGGCTGCTCATGTTCAAAAGAGGAAGCAAATTCTTCCAGGACCAGGGGCACAGAGGCCAACGAGGAATGGAGAACCCAAGTTATGAAGGGAGCCAAGAGTTTAGCTATTCAGCTTACCAAAATGAAGACCAAAAAGGAACAGGATGGGAAACATGCTGGGAAGAGGAAAGGGTTAAGTGAGCTAAGAGGCCGTGCTGGCAGAGAAACAAGTCGGTACAAAATCACAGACCCTCAAGATAAGGCACCCAGAAGATGCTTCTCATGGGACGTGTGAGCGCAAAACCCCTAATTGCAGCACTGAAGGAGCAAGCGGGTTTACGAAGGGGATGCCACAGCACACTTGTCGTTGGTGGAGGCATCAAAGGCTGTGTGACTCCGGAGGTTCCTGGCCAAGCCTGTGCTCTTGAAACTACCGCTATACTAACAACTGCACCTAATCCCGAGGTGCAGTGCTGTTGACTTTAGGTTATTCTTTGCCTCGCCTTTCCAGCCACTCCAGCCTACAGAAATGGCAACCAGAAGCCAAAAGTTCAAAGACTTTGTCTCTGAGCCCATGGGAAATAAGACTGTTACAGAAGTAGACGGCGTTGATGAGGAGCTTGGATCTAAACTAGCTGCAAAAGGTTTTGACAAGGTAACCTCTTAGGTAACCTCTTTCCTTCCTTCCCAACCACTGTCCACTTTACCCACTGACCTCATCAAGAACACTACATTCTTGTGGCATCCTTTCTTCTCCCCTCTTGGCCATAAAAGATGTCCCACTGTGGAAATCCCTCTGAAATCTGGTGGCCAATTGCTCCAGGCTGTTTGAAGGTACGATGACTTGTGCTATGTAAAAGAGCAAGGTCAAATATCAACGTGGCTCAGTAGTTCCTCCACCTGTCTTTGGAGAGGTGTTAAGCAAAATGTACTTTTTCTGAATTTTCAGAATGTACTTAAACAAACTTAGCTTCTCAGAGGGAGGGTTGTGAAACTGCAGCAGCACCTCCCATGGTTCAGCTAGCAGTAAATGAGCATTAACCCACCAACTTTGGTCCTCTGGACATGTCCTCTGAGATGAGGCTTGACACCAATGAGACCCACCAACCTGGAGTCTTCCAGTAGCTTCAGCTTCCCAGTTGCATGCATGATCAGTCTGGCTCTTCAAGCAGTTCCTGCTCACCATGGCACTCAGGAATCCGTGATTAACCAAGAAGGGCAAGAAGGAGGCTTTTGCATCGTGCTTTCTTCTGTCTCCATTCCCACGGTGGTGCCATGAGACTTGTGAGCAGATGTAGCCCCATAGCTACTCCCTTTCCTCCAGAGATTAGGAGAAACCTAGCCCCTAAAGTGTGGGTCTGGCAGCCTGTGAGAGAGACATCAGGTAGGCAGCAGAAGTATGAGCCATCCCAGCTACATTTACTCACAGACATTTGCTCACACACCCAGAGCCTTGGCTTTCAGAGAGGCTAACGTGGTCTGCAAGTGAGTGGGATGCCTCTTGCAATGGCATTTGCGGGCCAATAAATGCTCTTCTGCTTCCCTTTCCAGGCGTACATCCTGCTAGGCCAGTTCCTTCTCCTGAAAAAGGATGCTTTGATTTTCCAGCAGTGGTTGAAAGGTACTTTTGGTGCCAGTTCGAGGCAGGCTATGCAGTGTGCCACCTGCCTAACAGAATGGTGCTCTACCACCCTGTAAAGTATCAGCTCACCAGGTGGGCTCGCCGTGATCTTCTCTGGGCTTAAATAAAGTCCCTCCCGAACCAACAATGTGACTCGAGTGACTCATTTCATGCCATGCAGCCATGGCTCTGCATGCACCAGCCAAGGGGATAGAAATGTTTCAAAAGTAGTGAAGATTGTGTGGGAAATACTTCTCATTTCCCCCCACAAGAAATATTAAATATTCTGGGGAAAATGGTGATATCTGCAGTAGCTACTTCCTTACAAAAAGTTAAACTTTAACTTAGCATGTCGCAATACCTCTGGATATATTTAGGAAGTAAAGCAACAGATTGCCTTTACTCTCGAACAATAGCAGCTACAGCAAACCCAGAGCATTTTTCACTGCGTATCCACTAGATCCTCAGAATTTTGCTGTGGATATAGCTCTAATATGGGTGCAAGTGAGTTTTTTTTTTTAAAGCAACAACCCTAGTGACTTGTGAACCACAAGCACAGGGACTACTGCAGAAATAATATGTGCACAGACCTAACATATGTCTGTTCATATCTCTGGAGAATAGAGTTGGGAAATGAACACGCCATCCCTCTGCATATCCATTAGGATGTGACTAGCAAGGCATAGGCTAAAAGACCAACAGAATCTGGAGAGAGAAATTGTAACTACTTAATGCCCCACATTTTGAAACAAACTACCTTCATTTGAAAGTCAAACAGTAGAGAAAGAGCTTTTGATGGTGTGATGCAGTAGTAAAATTGGTTTTAACATAGCTGTTTTCTTAGCGCTCTGAAAGCTTTTCGTGTTATGGGGTTTTTTTCCTTTTGTCCCAGATTTTTGCATTGTTTCAGTTCAGAGCAATGCAAAGGGGGAGGAAAGCAGAAGAAGGTGAGCCACTAGCAGAGGAATTTAGTGGATGGGCTCTGGCTGATCTCACCAGAGTGGCTTGAGCTACCCAGAGCTGTGCACCTCTGCCTATGCCAGAAGTGACAATTCCCTCTGCAGTGATGGCAGAGAAGAAGATGCCTCTTTGTCCCAGCTGCTCCCAGTCTCAATCCAGCAGATGCCGTGGTCCTACCAGCCTCACATCATAGCCTGATCAGGTTTGAAATCTTTAACACACCTATTGCAGGCATCAGAGAGCTGCAGGGCTGTAGGAGGAGCTACCTGGAGTCCAGCAGACTTGCCCTGAAGTGGCTCATGAGCCCCGGGTCACTCAGGAAAGGCAGCTGGTAGACAGAGCAGAGCTGGATCCCCCTGGTACTAAAAGCTGATGGGCCTGCTCGGTGTCTCCGTGAACAGTATAGGCCCTACATAAACATCAAGCCTGGTCTCCATGCCAGTAATCCTCATATTCCAGCTAGGCCTGGGAAAAAGATCGCCATAAACAGCTGGTTCCAGTCTGAAAGCACCTTCTCCTGTTAAAAAAAAATCTTCATTCCATGTGTTCTTGTTGCATGGCAGCAGTGCTCCTTGCTGTAGCACATGGCTCCCTCTGGGCAACTTGGCAATGAAAAACCTGAGCAAGACTTGGAAAAACTTATCAGGGACCTCAGCTTGATTTGTGACTGCTCATCCCTGCATCCTTCCAAAAAGGAGAAATGCCAAGCAGGGTACAAGCTGGTTTCTCCTGTCTTCTGGCATGATATCCATCCCTCCCCAGGAGCGATCATCGAACGTCGCGAGGATGGCCCAGGCAGTAGGGTGCTGGCCCTGGTGCCTTCACATCTCGTCTAGGACTCCAAGTCCCTGCAACTATGGAGAATGCTCACCTCAGGGGCTGCAGACAGAGTCTCCAGGGAAAAGGGCTCTGATTTATAACGGTCAGTACGGTGCTTCAGCCCAGCGCATCGCCGGTGTCACTCGAGCAGTGAGGACGTAAGCTGGGCGCTGTGATGCTACAGCAGTTGGGACGCTATATCATTGTGCCAGGGCAGCTCATAACAGGAAAAGCCAGCCTAAAGGCAAGGCCAGGAACACGAGCTAATTTAGGAACACAATGGTTATACTAATCAAAACACCTTGCAGAGGAGAGGGGAAGGAAATTACCTAATCTTTCACCGTGCAATGTGATGTCCCAGTGCCCAGTAGTTAAAATTTTATGTTAATTGGCAATAAATTAAGTGCAATTCCCCAAGTCAAGACTGTTTTGACCGTGACAGAGGGATACCCATGAAATGTGGAAATTTATCTGTGAATCAGTAGTGGGGGCTGATGGGAAGTCGGAGGTACCTATGTTGGAAGCAACATCAGGGGACCAGGGTAGGCAGGTCTCCCAAGAGCCCTCTCGTCCAGCATAGGACACAAGTGCTCCATCAGGCCCCACAACACAGAGTGGGCAGTGGCCAGACCCCTCTTCATCCAGGGTGCTTTAGACATCCTGGGATCTTCCACATCTACATAGAAACATATTAAAATTTCTCTAAAATAGACACACCTAGGAATCACTGTTTACCCAGTGAAGCAGAGCGTCCGTAAAGGGAGCGCTCTGAACATACATAGCACCTCTGCGATAGGGCTAATGAGCTAGATGCGAAGACGAAGTAACGGGTGAGGCTCTGGGATGGCCCAGCGCCTGACACAGGATGGCTGGGGATCCAGCCTGGGGGGAAGAAGCCTTTACTATCCCCAGGGTTTTCTCCTAGGGTCCTTTTGCTGAATAAAAAGAAAGAATAGAAGGAGAAGGAGAAGGAGAAGGAGAAGGAGAAGGAGAAGGAGAAGGAGAAGGAGAAGGAGAAGGAGGAGGAGAAGGAGAAGGAGAAGGAGGAGGAGAAGGAGAAGGAGAAGGAGAAGGAGAAGGAGGAGGAGAAGGAGAAGGAGAAGGAGGAGGAGAAGGAGGAGGAGAAGGAGAAGGAGGAGGAGAATGCTTAGGAGAAAGAGGAGAGGGAGAAGGAGGAGAAGGATAAATGGGAAGGGAAGGGAAGTGGGAAGGGGTTAAGGAAAGGGAAAGAAAACAAAAAAGAAAGAGAAAAATATATTTTAAGCACATCTTCCTTCCCAAAAATATAGCAGGGAACCTCAGGCTTTGGGAAACGTTAAATCTGGGCATGAAGTGGCACCAAATAATACCAGCATAATTCCTGATGGTGCATTACTCTCCTTAGGGCAGCACCTCATACCTGCACACCATCGTCCAAGAACATGCTGTGCTAGCTGCCTTTCAGCCTTAAAACAACATTTTGTGCTCAGCAGTCTCTAATCAGAGCAGGGATTTTTATATTAGCAAATAAAAAAAGACCTCTTTGAATAAATACACAATTACACCCACATCCCAGGCTTACATTTCATCCCAGCGATGGGACTGAACAACTTGTGATTAAACAGTGGGGAGTGACGAGTGCAGAAGCCATCAGCGCTGCACTTGAGATATACGAGCAGAGCCCCCCCAAACGCCTTGCTGCTCTGAACTTCCTCAGCATTTGAAACCTCAGCCCTTCAGCACCAAGCCATGAGCGACTGTCCGGGCATGGCTTTAAAAAATGCAGCCAAAACTTCAGAAGTTTGGGGCTGGGGCAGGGGGAGTTTTTGGGGCCCGCAGCGGGGAGCCTTTGGAGAAATTCAAAGTCTGCTTTCAGGTTTGCCTGAAGTGCCTCATTTGCTCCCCAGCCCTCAGACAACACAGTCCTAGTCTTACATTAACACAGCAGCCCAGAGCGGGGCAGTTACGGGGTGGCTCCTTGGGCCAGCCCTGTGAGAGAGGTGTTGAACCCTGGCAGGGGGAAGACATCCCAAAGTTGTGCTCTATCTCACCAAGCGGAGCTCCAAGAGAGGCTTGTAGACCACCGCTTTGCTTGAATGCAAAATCCCTTGTACCCTGCTGTTTGCCTGCCTCACCTCTTCACTTTTGGAGTTCCCCAGATATTCGTGTGGCACCTAAAACACTGGTGACTTCAGGCTAGACCAGCACTTCAGTGCTATTACCTTGCCCTTCAGGTGTGCCGAAGTGAAACCTGCTCCAGAGGGAAAGGCACGTTCCCCAGCCCATCACGCTCTTTGGCTCTTGCTCTCCCAGAGTGGCTGAGAGCTTCTGAAAGCCAGCACCTGCCATTCAGATTAAAAGAGGACTTTTGGCCAGCAATCGCCTTGGCAAAAGGGAGCATTTTTTGTTTTTTTTCCTATTTGACGAAGGCCTTAAAAATAAAACCAGACTGAAAATAGATTGAATCGGAGAAAGCTGCGGCATAAGGTCATCTTGACATGTGTCAGTTTGAAGCGCTCTGACACAACCCAACCAAGCCTCCCAGTGCATGGGCAGTGGCCTTTCAGGTGTTCACGCTTCCCCGGGAACCAAACACTAATCATGTAATAAGGGCAAACAGTGCTGCCCGGCGAAGCCGGGGCGTCCTGCTGCGCACGGTTGCGGGGGCCTAGGACCGCCCAGCGCAACGGCCCTTTCCCGACGTGCACATCACTTTGCCACGCAGAGCGGATGGCTGTGCCTGACGGACCCAAAAGCCCCCCTGCGTTTTTGGATACCTGCAGCCCTGGCTTTCTAGGCTCGCTTGGGGCAGCAGTTTTTGGGCGTCGTGGAGGGGGAAGGGCTGTCTGGATCCGCTGAGCCAAATCCTGAGTGCAGAATCGGCATGGGTCCGTCCCAGCTAGCAGAAGTGGTTCCTACTCCCGCCGCCAGCGGCCGTGACTCTCTTAAAGTTCATTAATCTCTTCATACAGCAAAATTAACCTGTGGAAATTGCTTGTCAAGAATGACACGTTGTAAACCCCGAGCACTAAGATGTGACATAAATTACAGGATTATCTTTAAAAAAAAAACAGTGAATGACTTAGAGTAGTAAATTCGGGGTCTTTCTGACTTGTCATCACATGCTTAAAACTTAATGGAGGGAAGAAGGTCACACTTGGCAGACTTTTTCTCCCCAGCCATCAGGTAAGAAATCAACACACATGCTTTCTGACAGAGCTGCGATTTCACGTGTTGGCATGATGCTGGGGGAGAGGACTTCAAGCACAACTTCAACGTGTCAGAAGTCCATGCTAAACTTGCAGGAGCTCCCTCCACG